GCGTCCCCGCCCCTCCCTCTCCGGTTGCCGCCCGTCCGCTTGCTTCGCGTCCCCGCCTCCCTTTGCTCGTCGCGTCCCCGCCTCGCCCCTCCTTGCGTCCCCCCTTCGCCCTCCGGTTTCTTCCCCCCGTGTCCCGCCCCCCTTCCGCCTTTTCTTGCCTTCCCGCCTCTTCCCCTGCTCTGGCTGTGCCCTCTTTCTCGGTCTCGGGCCGCCTTGTCCTCTCCCTCCCTGGCCCCGCGTCCTCCCCTCCTCTCGCCCCCGTCCCTCGCGTTTTCTTTCGCCCCGGCTTTCCGGCCTCCTTTCTCCCTCCCCTCGTGTTTTCTCTTTCTGCCCCCCCTTTCCCTTCCTGCTGCCCCCTCCTCGGGCTGCTTTGGGCCTCCTTTCCTCCCCCCCCCCGCCCTTCCCCCTTCTCCCCCGCCTTGCGTTCTTCTTCCTCTTTTGCCCCTGGCTTGCCTTGGCTTTCCCCCTCTTTGCCCCTCCCCCTGCCGCGTTGCCTTCCTTGTTGGCCTTGGCCTTGTGCTTGCCCCCTTCGTCTTCTTCCTGGCTCTTCCTCTGTTGGGCCGCCTCCTCCTCCCCTTCTTGCCCCTGCTTCGCCCTCGCCTCTTGTCCGCCTTGTCTTCGCTCCCTGCTCTCCCTTGCCCTGGCCCCTCTCCTCTTCCTCTCTCGCCTGGCCTTCTTCTTGGTCTTTGTTGTTTCTTCCCCCCCTGCTGTTTTCCGGTGTCGTTCTGGGCCTTGTGCTGCGCCCCCTCTTTCCCCTTTCTGGCTTCCCTGTGTCCTGGTTCCTCTTCTCTCCCCTTCTTGCCCCGGCTTCGTCCTCGCCTCCCCCTCTTCCGTGCCCGCCCCCGTCGCCCGCTCCCTTTCTGTTTTCTCCCGCTCCTGGCCCTTTTTCTTGGGCTGCTTGCCCCGCGTCGCTCCCCTCCTCCTCCTCCCCTCCCCCGTCCGGCCCTTCCGTCTCCTGCCCCCTCCGGGCCTTTCCCCCTTCTGGCTGGTCCTCCCCCCCCTGCGCCCTCTTCCTTTCGCCTCTTGTTTGCCTTGTCCCCCGCCCCCCCTTTTCCGCCTCGCGCTTCCGGCTCCCCCCCCCCCTCCCTGCCCCTCTCCCGTCCTGCTTTCGCTGCCTTGTGGTGGTCCGTCGCCCCCTTCTGCCCCTCCGCTTCTCCCTCTTTTTTCTTCTTTGGCCCCTGCCCCTCTCCCTGCCCCCCTCCTCTTTGGCCCCTCCCCTTGTCCCTTCTGTGCCTCCCCTTCCCTCCTTGCTCCCTCCCCGCCCCCGTGCCCTCCCCTTGCCTTTGCCCCCCCCCTTGCGCCCGTCGTCTTTCCCCTCCGCCGTTTTCCCCTGTGCCTTCTCCCTTCCCCGTGCTTCCTTCTCTCTCTCCCCTCCCGTTTTCGTCCCCTCCCCCTTCCGGCCTCTCGGCTGTCTGGCGCCCCCCTTTCTCCCCCTCTCGCCCGTCGCTCCTTCCTCGCCCCCCCCCCCTCTCGCGCCTTTTCCTGCCTGCTTTTGCCCTCCCCGTGCGTCCCTCGTTCCTCCCCTTCTTTCTCTTGCTTCCTCTCCTTTTCGTTCCCCCGCGCGGTTGCCCTTTGCCCCCTTGGCTGGTCCTTTCCCCTGTCTCCCTGCTTGTGGTCCCTTTGTTTGGCTCCCCCCGTTCGCGCTTGGCGTGGTGCTTGCCCTTCCCCCCCTGGCGGTTCCCCTTTTCTCTCTTTGCTTTCTTCCTTTGCGGCTGGTTTGCGCGCTTGCCTCCCTGTCCCTTGCCTTTCTTCTCCTTGTTTCGGCTCCCCCCGCGGCCCGCCCTCTGTCCCTCCCTTCCTGTGCCCCCCTCCGTGTTCCTCCTTCCCTCCTCCCTTCTTTTTCTGTCCCCTTGCCCTGGTCTCCCTCCCCCGCTCTGCGCCGCCTGCCTTGGGCTCTTCTCCCCCCGCTTTCCTCCGCGTCCCTGTTCCTCGCTCCCGGCCTCCGCGCCTGTTTGGTTCCTCTCGCTTCTCCTCCCTCCGTTCCCCCTTGCCCCCCTCCGGCTTTGCTGCTTCCGCCCCGGTCCCTGCCGCCCTTTCCCCCTCGTTGCCCTCGCCCCCTTTGTGCCCCTTCTCGCCTCTCTTCCCCTCGCCCCCCTTCTCTCTCCTTGCCCCTTTCGCCCCCTCTCTTTTCTCTTTGCGCCTCTCTTCTTTCCCGGGTGCCCCTTCCCCCTCCTTCCCCCCCCTCTGCCTCGCCTCCCTCTCCCTCTTTCGCCTCCGCCTCTCCCGGTCTGGCTGGTTCTCTCTCCCCCTGTTCCTTGGGGTTTCCCCCTGGTCCCCCCCTCCTCCTCCGCTTTCTCTTCCCGCCCCGCCGTCCCCTTTTCCGCTTGTGTTGTTCTCTTCCCTCCCCTCTTGTTCGGGCCCTCCCGCGCTCTGTGGCCTCTCCCTTCCCTCTCTCCCCCTCCCTTCTCTCTCCTGTTGCGGCCTTCCTGCCTCCCTTCCCTTTTCCTTCCCTTTGTCTCGTGCCTCCTCTCTTGGCGGCGGCTGTTCCTCCCGCCTTTGCGGGGTGGCCCCCGTGTTGTTCCCTCTTGCTGCCCCCTTTTTTGGCCTTGTCCCTTTTCCTCTCTTTGCTTTTTGCCTCCGCTTCCCGTGCCGCCTCCCGGCCTCCTCCCGGGTGTCCTCTCTCTGCCTCCTCCTTCCCCCCGCCTTTCTCCGTTCCCTCCCTGTCCGCCCCGCGCCCCGTTTTTGTCTCTTCTTCCTGTCTGTCTCCCTGTTTCCGCCCCCTCTTCTCGTTTGGTCGTCCTCCTCCCCTGCCTTTTTCCTTGCCCCGTTCCCTGCCCTTTTCTTTCCCGCTCCTGCCCCCCGCTTTCGGCCGCCCGGTTCGGCGCCTCTCTTCCCTCCCTTGCCCCCCCGCTTCCTCGGGCCTCCCCTTCGCCCCTCTTTCTCTCTTTCTTTTTCGCCCCCCGCTCCTGCCTCCCCCTTCCCCGCTGTCGCCCTCTCCTCCTTTTTGTCCGCTCCGCCTCTTGCTTTCCCTCCCCCGCGTTTCCCCCGCCTTCTCCCTTCTCTGTCTTCGGTCGGTCCTTTCTCCCCGGTGCCGTTCGGCCTTTCCTGTTTCCTGTTTCCTCCCTCCGCCTTCCGCTGCTGGCTCCTTTGCCCTCTCGGCTCCCCTCTTCCTCCTGGTGGCCGGTGTCGCTCCTCCTGTGTGTGGTTGCCCTTGCTGTGCGCGTTGCTCCCCTTCTTCCTTCGTTTGCGTCCCCTGTCTCTCTTTTGTTCTCCTGTCTGGGGCCGTTTGGCCCTTGCTC